ATAAATAAATAAATAAATAAATATTTGCCCCCTCTCCTTTTACAGCTGCCTTATGGAATGCTGATTTGTTGTGCTGCACAATATATAGTGTTGCATTCTTGTGTAGCAATTATAGCACCTGGAAGCAAGTTGGTGGCATCGAAAAAGAGGGCAGCCACTCCCATTTCCTGAGGGGCTCCCAGGGGATGCAGTTTGTAAATGAACAGAAATGCCAAGAAGAAATGGCTTGTGGAATACTGCTGAATTTTAGATGTAGATAATGCTGAGAAACCATGGCTGTGGGGGCGGAGGCGGGTGGGGGGATAGAAAAGACATTGGAGATTTGGGGAGAAGGTAGAGAAGAAGGGGCTGGTTTGATGAAACCCACAATAACTTACAGGAATGATCCCCGACAGGGGTGTTATAGGAATAAGGGCAAAACTGTACTATACTGTGAAATTTTCTAGTCAAAACTTGGAAAAATTACTTTTTTGGACTAAAACTCCTGGAATTCCTCACTCAGAAGACTGACGGGAAAGGTTACTTTTTCAAAACTGTGATCCTGGTGGGATATCGCCACCACTCGTCCAAACCCTCTGTCAGTGTTTTGTAAATCGGAGACCCTCCCATCTATGCAGATTATCTACTACATTCCACCAAGATCCGAGGAGAGTGGAAATAACTGCACATAATCCTGTTACATTAAGCAAATTAGCTACGGGCCTCTTCGTCTGAGACGAATTATAGGATCCCCCTGTTATATAACCCTTACAGCTTTGGTACACCTGGGTCTGGGGCACCTGTCGCAGCGTGACTGCTCCATGTGCTATTCATTCATCACAGAAGAGAAACAGATGGCAGGTCAGGAGAATCGAAGCATGCAAGTGTTACCATTTGCATGCCAAAAGGTCACTGTTATTGTTTCGACTGATATACCACCCCATTGTGCTGAAACACTTTCTGGGAATTTTGCAACATAATTATGCAAATGACACTTTGCCCCCCCCCCTGCGAGCCACCTCCCATCATAATTAGAGTTGGGCACAAAATGCTGGTTCGGTGGTTCATTTCCCATCCAAACACCTGATGGGCAAGTTCGACGCCCCGCGCCACCAGCAGGCATCCAATCGGCATGGAAGGCTGAGTCAACCTTGAGCCATCTCCCATCATAATTAGAGTTGGGCACAAATAGCTGGTTCGGTGGTTCATCGTGGTTCATTTTCCATCCAAACAGCTGATGGGCAAGTTTGACGCCCCGCACCGCCAGCAGGCATCCAATCGGTGGCAGCTCCCCCACCCGCCTCCTTCTGGAGTTGCCTCCGAGTGGGTACCCACTGGAAGGGGTGGGGCGCTGAACTGTGGAACAGCCGTTTGGGTGGGAAACGAACTGCACTGAGATGCCGAACCAGCAGTTTGTGCCCATCTCTAGTCAGGATTGAATTTAGGTTGTGAGCAGAGGCTTGACTGCAGGACTGCAGTTTAGCCACTACACCATGGAGCTCTGTGGCAGTCTTGGACATATACTGTCAGTAGGAGACGGCACTTCACACTTCCAGAAGAATGTGTGTGTTCAGGGAGAGTGAATGCTCAGCAGATCTTACGAATACTTGGCTTCTCACCTAGACGATCTCAGTGTTCCACCACTGGTTGAAAATCATTGTCCCAGACAACAGTCAATGGTAGGAGATAATGGCAAACAAGATTCTAGACTGGTACAGCATATGGAAGCTCATCAGGTCTGACGCTGGCCTGTGACGTAATGAAGCAAGCCCCTGAACTCAGAGGGACTCCTCTCCTCATCTGACCCTGAGATGATGTCTCTGATGTGACTCACACAGTTCTTGCATGTATACAATTTCAAATGGCAAAATCTATCAAGGCATCAGAATTTAAATCCTTACACTTTTAAAAAAGTGCATCAAATGTAAAGGTTTTCTTGGCTGAACTGAAAAGGATCTATCTAAAGAAATTCAAAATGTATGTATTTGTACCAAATCCACCAATGTCCTTGAGAAGCTCAACCAAGGTGAAAGGGATTGTCCACCCTCATGAGGTGTATAACTCTGCCTGCCCATCTCTCTCTCTCTCTCTCTGTGCATGTCATGCACACATGTAACTATCAGATAATGGCCTCTGCCTTGTGAACTGACATCCCTATTAATGAGTCAGAAGGAATCAGTCTGGCTCACCAGCAGCTTGCAAATTGACAATGTCAGAAGCAAAGAGCTTGTTGCTGCAAAACAGCTCTGGAAATAAATATTTTCAGATGCCCGGGGCATGAGGATATTATGCTGGTGTCACAGCAAGCTTGTATAGATGCTGTTTCAAATTAGCAGACAAAAACAAAAGCCCAAACTCCCCACGTTCCAATCTTCAGATGCAGAGGCACCTCCGTCACCGTGATAAATAACCTGATAGCAAAAGAGAACTCCTTAATGGGACAAGTGGCTGCAACTGGTACCCCTTGCCCTCTTTGTCCCTCAGAAAACCATTTTGTACTAA